TCAAGGGGGATTTGTTGGGTTTTCCCTATGTAATAATATTGATAACAATAAGGTCTAGACCTTACTTTGTAAAGTGTCCTGAGATGACTTTTGTTGTGATTTGGCGCTATACAAATAAAATTTGATTTGATTTGATTTGATTTGACCACTGAGGACAGTGATAAATACAGGCTGAAGTCTAAGACAGACACCAAACTAACAAACCCATCACTTTACGGAAGCTAACAGTGATCCAAACTAAAAATAAAGAACACAAACTGTTCTAAGTGTCTTACATGTTTTTCTAAACTATTATGTTTGAATAACATTTTGAACAACATACCAACTCTCAGTGAGAGTAAAGAAAACAGAAATGATCAACTTTACATGTAAGCAAGAAGTGCAAAGGTCAAAGAGACGGTGTCCTTATAGCAGCTGAAAAGAGCATCAATGCTACCAGAATAATAAGCAGCAGGGAAAAAGGCGACGCTATCAGAGAGAGAAGAAGGGGCTTTCTTGATTAGATAAGTTTTCAAGTTCCAGCAGAACAGTGTATTGATGCTGTCATTGATTAGCCTGAGAGGAGCAGAACTGAAGATAAAGATAACCAGGTCATCACAGGGAAAGGCTTAACACAAGATGACACATCTGTTATAAGGACAGTAACATACGAGACATAGCATATGAGGCTTAGAAACTGTTAACACTATAATAATCAAGGTGGCAGTCTACTCTGTAATTATAATACATACATATGTGAAAATGTACTATTAATTTAAAATTATAAAAATTTATTTATCATATGTTGGCCAGCATTTTCATGACATCAACATGTGAGGTGTTTTCCTGCAAACTGGAATCCAGCCACTTGTGTTGGCTATAGTTACATCCTTGCTTTCTTTTTTACAGGGTCAGTTACATTATATTCACATACAGGATCATTCTCTGTATCATTCTACCCTAATATCCTGTCGCTGCCCACTATCAAGTATCAGCATCATCCACAAAATATAAGAAAGTCACTTTCAGCTTTTCCTGTTTAGGGGTTGCCACAGCGAATTGTCACACTGACAACTTGCATGTTGACATTTGGCACGTGTTTTACACCGGATGCCCTTCCTGACGCAACCTGGATTCAAACCCGGGGCGCCGCGGCGAGAGCGCTGCACCTTAACGACTAGCCTACCAGTGATGACTCAACAGATAAAAATCATTATTGCTGTGTTACAATGATCTTGTTAGTCTTCCACTCTGATTATAGACTGAAGTGCCTGAAAGGTTTTTGCAGCTCTTACTGCTTTCATTTTTAGTTTGTGCTATCTGCACAGCTCAATGCTGTAATGTAGGAGAACATGTAAACAGACACGCAAATGATGAATCGTCACCACTTTGAAAATAAATATGCAGTACGGTATAATAAATGCATTACAAATACTGTAGGTTAAACATATCTCAGGAAGACTGGTGACATGCCCAGTGTGAACCCAACCTCTTGCTAAATGAGACAGGGTCCAGCCTCCGTAATGGATATATACATGAAGACACTAGTTTGTGCTGCTTTTGCATGATTTTGCTCAATAACCATTCTTTTCAAACAGGAAGAAATTTCAACTGTGTCAAACGTATGGCAACATTTTCTTTCCCGTGTGTTTAACTTCGGCTATTTTAAATGCAACAAACACTGGCTGTTTGAGAATATCAAAAGTTCATGTTTAGAGCTTGACCTGAATAAATACAATACAATACAGTAACATATACTATACGTCATCTGGCCTGGTGGCCCCTGGTTACCTGGGTACTTTTTCCAGCTCCACTGGGTGCACTGAGCAGCACCATGCTGTGGCTCTCCAGCTGTTCCAGCAGCCTCTCCCTGAGCCTCCATACAGGAAACTGCCTCCTCTCCTCCAGCAGGGCATAGTAGCGTGAAGAGAAGGGCAAACCATCATATGGGTTCACTTCTAGGTCTCCCAGCCCTTCCTCCTCCCCTTCTTCTCTTCCTCCATCTCCTTCATTGTCTAAATCCCCAGACAGGAGGGAAGACACAGACATGGAGCCAAGGGCCGTCAAGGGCTGCAGCTCAGACCCAGAGGGGAGGGAGAGGGTGGAGGGCTTTGCTGGTGGTGATGACATCATCAGTGGTGGCTGAGGATCAGGAGGGAGAGAGGGGCCCACTCACAAAGAGGCCTGAGATTTGCTGCTGAGAGGTCACAAGAAGCAAAGGAACCAGAGGAGGTGATGTTAGATACACTTTGTCAGTCAATGTAGTGAAAAGATTCATGTTTAAAATGATTCTGAAGTTATGGGTTGCCTGTAGTGCTGCTAAACCCTTAAACAGCCCATGGCACTTTTCCTTGTTTTCTGACTTATCTACAATGTTACAACAGTGAATTGTCATCTTAGATGTGACCTAAAGTTTAAAAAATGCGGTGTACATATGTTGTTTATACACATCTCGCAAACTCTTGCTCGCAAGACTCTTTTTCTATCAAAATAAAGTGTTACGTGATAGTTTAAGGATTTCCTTGAATGGGCATTATCTCCAGGCCGTTGCGCGTTCATGTGAACTTGCCTGATGTCCACTGTTGGCCCCACCATATTGGCAAAAATGTTATATTGCCTTGTTTGTTATGTATATTTTCAATAATGCTTATTTAAAAAAAACAAAAAAAGAACACCTGCACTGCCATTGTAAATGTGGAATTTTTTGACCGCGCCCAGTTCTGTGGATATATTTTACCCCCTAGAGCTCAGGGGCCAATATTTTTCCATTCCTTCAAGTGGGCCCTTCATAGGAAGCTGTAGCATGTTTGGTATGTAACTGTAGAATGCTTGTCTCTACTCAGAGCCCACTGAGTGTGCTGACAGCTGCAACAGACATGCTCTGCTCAGAGAGGAAGCTGCAGGCACCTTAGTGGTGAGGCAGAGCAGTCTGAGAAGAGCTCCAAGCTTCTGCTTTGTGAAATATGGGCAAACTGTTTGGAGGACTGTTTTGGCTAATCCAGAAATTATAGTGCCTTCAGAAAGTGCTTTTTATAATGTACATTTAATTTGAAATGGTCAAAACTGCCATTTTACTAATCAATTTAAAATTAATAACTTAAGTGAAAACATGTTTTTAAACTTTTTTTTAAAAATGTATGAAAAGTCAAAAACCCAAATCACTAATTTAAAAAAGTGATCAGAGCCTCTGTGTCGATGCTTTGAACTGCAGTTAGGTGTTGCATGTTTGATTCAACTCTTCTTGAGATGCGTGACTTGACTGGAGTCCACCCCTGGCAAGCTGAATTGACTGTACACAGTTTAGAAAGTCACACACCTATTTATATAAGGTCCCACAGTTCACTCTGCATGTCATGACAAAAACAAAGGCATGAAGTCTAAGGAACTCTCTGCAGACCTCGCTGAGGCACAGATCAGGTCAAGGGTATAAAACCATGTCTAAAGCTCCAAGTGTTCCCAAGCACATAGTGGCCTCAGTAACTGTGAAATGGAAGAAGTCTGGAAGCAGCAGGACTCTTCCTAGAGTCAGCCATCTGGCCAAACTGGGCAAGAATGATCAAGGAGTTGATCAACAACCCAGTGGTCACTCTAACAGATCTTCAGAAGCAGAGATGGAGAACCATCTCAGCAGTTCTCCATCAATCCCACATGGTAGAGTGGTTAGACAGAAGACATTCTGAATAGCTCTTTGGGCAGGATGTAAATTTGAGATTTCAATCTTTGGTCTTTAATACATTGGCAAACATTTCACTTTTTCATTATAGGTGTAAATTGAGGGGCGAAATTGTGACTTCGTCATTTTAAAATTAGGTGTACAAAAATTAAAGGGCTCTGAATACTTTCGGAAGGGACTGTAATTTCTGGATTAACCAAAAGCAGTCTTCTGAAGGTTTTACCTACACCACACTCCTCTTGCTGATGGATTTTTAAAACCAGACTCAGTAAATACATATGATATTCAGATGAAACTGGGCATCCACCTAGTCTGGATGGTTTTAATAGAGTGGGCATACAGCCGTCAAACCCAGGAAAGCTATGGGTTCCTTGTCCCCATCTCCAAAAAGTGGATAGTGCTGCTAATTTTATTAGTAGTTTTCAATATAAAACCACAAATTAATTATTTTTGTTTGTGTATCTAAATAGTTAAACACACCTGTGATAATACTAATAACCACAATAATGTTGGTCTCTATAACGGTGATATTAAATTTAGTTTAATCTCTAACTGATCTACTAGGGACTGTTGATTTTCACAAGACCCTCAGAGAATGATGTGCCAATTCATGCTGCTAAAACTGAGATGGGTTTGAAACCCAGGGTGTGACACAGAACAGAATGTCAGTCTGTTTTTGTTTATGCGTGTCTATATGGACACAAATAATTGGTGCAAGTGAAAGGATACTAGTGAGGTAAAGCTTGAACGTATAG